CGCGGTGGCTCTCATCTGCTGTCAATCAACTCCACAGTCTATTTGTGCCTTTTTTTAGTCCACCGACCTTTTTCGTTTTCTTTCCTTTTACATTTCTGCACTGATTCAGAAGTGCAAGTCCTTCAAAAAGCAAAAGCTCCACTTAGCAAACAGGGCAGATATCAAAAATGCAGCCTCCAGAGCTGTACTTTTAGTTCTACTGGCCTCTGTGCCCTCTCTACTCCTGCATATCTCTTGTGAGCAGGATTACCTCCTACTGCTATAAAAAAAAGGAAAAAATAATACAGGGAAAATGAAACAAAACACGTGTTTCAATGAATCTGCTGTAGGGCACAGTTCTTACTGCCAAAGCTGGGCCTTCTAGTGCAGAAAGCAAGAGATGCACCTTTGCCAATGAGCCATAAGATCTCAACTTCGGCAGAATGAGGGCGCTGCCATTCAACAGGCTGTATCAACACACAACATTATTTGTGTCGGGATGTGGCCAACTGCCAGCACCCTTTTGGTATTCAAACTTCCCGAGCACGTCTCTCCCAGGTTTAATACCTCCGGAGGATCATTTATCCTTATTCTGCTGGAGGGAAGGAAATTGGATTTATCGATTCCTCAAGCATGCCAGAGTGTGTAAGAAAGCAAAAGGAGTAATTGGAACCAAGAGTTGTGTCTCATTTCCGAACTATTTCCAGCCTGGTCCAGAAGAAGGAGGACAATTACCATCATCTTCCTGCAGTCTGGTGGCCGACAGGAAGCAATTTTGTGGTTTAAATCCAGCCATCAGCAAACCAAGTCCACATTAAGAGCAAGCCCAACTGCACAACATACCTTTGTTTGCAGCCTCGGGATTTCATTACATGGGTGGATAAGGCCCACCTTTTAAGCCACACTGGAGGGTGATCCCATTGCTGGTGTGGCAGCTGTGCTACACTGGAACATCGTCCCACCATAGCTGTCCCACCACGCTTCTTGCTGAGGGCAGCCTCACCGAAAAACCTCATATTCTCACCCAAAGGCAGGTTGTTTGGTTTCTCCTCTTCAGTACAAGCTAGGGGTTATCCCAGGGCTGTCTGTGGCCAGAGGATGGACTGAGACAAGTCTGGCTCCCTCACACTTGGGGCACGCTCTTCACCCAGGTCGCCCATACAGTTGTCCAGCCAAATGCCCTTCCTATAGGTCTTCCACCTTCCTTTTCAAAGCATTCCCGAGACAGAAGTAGAAAGGGTAAATCCCTTCTTTTTCCTCCTTCCTTCATCGAACAGAGCTATTATTCCCTCATAAACAGCAACTTCTCCCAGCAACTGGACAAAGCAGCTACTTACATGCTGTATTTTAAACAGCCATGTTTTCAGGCCAAGAAATAAACAGTTATATTTTGGCAATCCTTCATTTCCTGTCCTATTTGTGAGCAATAATGTCATGACACAGAGTGTGTCCCATGCCTTCCTCCCCAGCTTAAGCTTGCAGCAAAAAAATCTAGCTGGATGAGCCGCTTATGACACCTACAGAAAAATCATCAGTATTGGGCAAAAGTGTGGGGAAAATGATGGAAAAGAAAAAAAAGGAATTATTTTTTTCGGTGTAAAGGGCAAACTGCAATGCCTTGGTATTCAGAGCAAGTATTGCTGGTCCCTGCTCAGTGATGGAGAGAAGAGGGATTTGGGGACCAGCAAAGGGACAAATGAGAGTGAGTCAAGTTTAATTTTCTTTCCCTGGACTGGGAAAAATGCATCACCCTGAAGTCTCAGTGTAATCTCGCATCACATTTTGCTGTCCTGGACAACACTAGAGTAACCCCCTCCACTGCACAAGACATACCCCGCTTCACCCAGCCTGTTAAAAGCCTCCGGGGGACCGTTCCCACTTGCAAGCACTTGGAACACACACTTGGGGCTTGCTGGAATAAATCAAGCCAAGTGGTGGGGACCCTGCGGGGATGCAGCCGCTTCCTGGCTCGGGCAGGGCATCGCGGCTCCATCCCAAGCCGCGAAAGGCTGCAGACCAACACTTCCTCGTTCTCTGACCTTTTCCATTTAATTACTTCCTGTGACTTTCTTGGAACTGTGCATCGGAACGAGCAGGAGGCAGCCTCCGGGCATAACCGAATCGTTTTAAGGGTTCGGCTCCATCCTCCTACTTACAAATGGAAAGTCGCCAGCAGCCCACCCGGGAGCTGTGGAAGAGGTCACGGATGGCGATGGGCAGCTGCCCTTCTCCTGGGTACAGGCAGCGCTGCCCAAAACTCTCCCACCACTTACACTCAGCACCACAGCTTCGTGCCTCCAATTTATTACAGAGCAGCCCCATTTCCGCCCCCCCCCCCCCAGCCCTGCAATGTGCAATGGAGAAGCACAGCGGAGATGGGGGGGGGGGGAGGAGGACGGAAGCAGAAATAAAGGCTGAGATGCAGAAAGAGGTGCTCACTTTGCAATGACAAATTGACCTCTAAGTATCGATCTGAAATGGTGCAGTCATGAAGGGACCAATGAGTTTCCAGCATCCTGAGCCCTATTTTTTTTCCTTCCTTGGTTTTATAAATTGTGTCAAAACTCAAAAATCTTAAAAAGTTGTTCTCAAATTAAAATAAAAATAAAGCCAAAAATGGAAGGGGGTGACCCTCATCATTTACTTGAAGAGGGTTATTTTAAAATGCATCCTAACAGTGGTCCTTTTTTTGTAATCTGGCTGTTAACATTTGCTCACAGTGCACTCAGTGAAACGAGAATAGCTATGCAAATTAAAGCCAGATATCTAGGGCAAATAGCACGCTATACTACCATTGTTCTGACAGCTTGAGAAAACTTATCAGGAGAGCCTGTCCTTATTTCTTTTAACACCATATATATTGGATAAAAAAAAAAATCAAATCACTTCACCCACCGCTGAAATGAAAAACAACCTATGAGTCACCGGCTTCAGCGACGCTATCAATCAATGCAAGGCTGGAAGCGAAGAGCTTATGGAGGAAACCATGGCTTACCTAAAACACCTCACCATGCCCTGCAAGGAGAAGGCCTGAACTGAACTGCGACAAGCCCAACCGCAGCCTCTGAAACAGCTGCTTGGGATGTGCACAAAGTAAGGACCACATTGTGTCATCTACCCTGAATGCCAACACATCCGTACGCCAAGAAAACAGCCAACGCTGGTCTGGGAAGTGGGATGGGTACCATCTCCCTGCGGCCGCAAGTACTCCTCATCTCCCAGGGAATGAAGCACAGCGGTGCTGGGTTGACTGGTGACCCCCAATAGAGGCAGCATGACCCAAGAGCCTCCCTCCCCAGCCCAGCACAGGAAACCCACCCGCCAAAGCCTCGCTGGGCATGGCAGCACAGCGGCACGTGGAGGAAGGATTCACTCCAAAACAAACTGCAGCCTACAATTAAGTTAGGAAAAAACCCAACCAACCCAACCACCAGAGCCAAGCGCTCACTGTTTTACAGCGACACTCACCTCCACACCAAGCCCTGCAGGAAAACATGCTCAGAGCAAGATCTTCCTGCAAGATGAAGCTTGGCAAGCACCAGCTTTCATCCACTCAATCAGGTTCAGTTTGCCCCTGCGCTCTCAAACCCAGAAGGAGGGACACATCTCTCCTCCTCTTGTCCAACTTGAGAAATGAAACCCAAAACACTAACCAAGAACCAGTAGGGTTTTATTGGAAACAAGCTGGCTGCAGTTTTCCAGCCTGCTAGGTCATGGCAATCCACAAGAGAGAAAGTCAACTTTTTCCCTCTTTTTTGGGAAAAGCGATCCCAACTTCAAAATAACCACAATTTCAGAAGCTACACATAAGCACGTATTTATAGTCTCTTCATTAAGAAGTGCCAAAATAACAATTCCTCTTCACACACGCATCGCAGGCAGAAGCCATTTCCTTCGCCACTCGCGCTCCTCCAGTGAACCCCCTCAAAACAAGGCTGACATTACAAAGGTATAAGCGCAGCACACGCCGCCAATTACGGCATTTTATTTTCTTTTTAGGGCTCCAAAACCGAGCCGAAAAGTTGCACAATTCCGACGCCGCTTTATAAGCCCTGAGAGAAGTCATTTTAAAGCGTGGTACATCCTATGGCGCTTGGCACGAAACCAGCCCTGCACGCAAGTGACTCATTTTTCTCGACTGTCAAAACGCAGAAAGAGATAGCCAGGAACAACACTTGGGCCCGGCACGGTTTGTTAAAAGCCTTTCCTGGAATTTCGCCGTTAATGCCTCCTGAAGTTGTATTTTGGGGGAAGAAAAATTGTCCAGAGGGAAAAGAGCACCGTCAGGCATTTTGAAACCCTCGGCACGGCCTCTCCCCGGCTTTATCCGTGGGGAGGCTGTGCGAGCCTTGCCGAGCAAGGGGGTGCCGGTGCGGGAGGTGCGCGCAGCGGGCACCCGCAGCCCCCCGAGGCGCGGGGGTACGGGGGGAGGTGGCGGTGAATGGGGAGGCCGCCGGTGACCGGGTTTATGAATGCGGCGTCATGTGACGGCGGCGGCGGCCGCCCTCCTATTCACAAAAACGGCGGCGGCCGGGGCGGGGACCCGCGATGTCCCGTGTGTGTGCCCCCCTCAGCGCCCCGATCCCCCCCCCTCCCACCAGCGCCGGTGCTGCGGGGGAATCGGAGCGCACCGCCGCTTTCCCCCTCTGGGCCCCCCCCTTCCACCACCATCACCAACCCCCGCTTCCGCCGCAGGCCGCCGCCGGGCGCCCCGAGTCCCGCACCGGGGCTGGCGCGGTGCCGGTGCTCGGTGCCCGGGGTGCTCCCCGCAGTCCCCGCGCCGTCCGGGTTTTTTTATGAATGAAATAGGCGGAATGCAAATGAGCGCGGCCCGGGGGGGAGCGCGAAATGGCGGATGCACGGGCGGGCAGCGCGCACACGTACGCGCGTGTCCGTGTCCCTCTGTCCGCCCGCGGTCGGTGTGTCTGCGGAGGGGAAAGAGGGGGTGAGGGACCCGCACCTGGGCAACAAAGGGCGAACCCCCCCACACCCCGCTCCCGCCCGGCCCCGGCCCCGCTCACTCGTCAGGGTAGGCTTCCTCGGTCATCTTCTCCCCGTCTAGGCTCATCCCTCGCCGCGGGCGGCCGGGCTGCGCCTCCGCATCTTCCTGAGCTTCACATGGCGGGGGAGGCCGCGCCGCGGCGGGCCGGGGCTGGCGGCCGCGCCGGGCCCGACGGCGCGGGAGCGCGGGCGGCGGCAGAGGGGGGGGAAGGGGGTGGGAAGGGAAAGGAGGGGGGCTACGGCCGCTCTCGTCGCCGGGCGGCGGCGGGCGGAGGAGGAGGAGGAGGAGGCGGCGAGGCGGCGGTCAGCGCGCCGCGGGGGCGCGGCGGGGCGCGGCGGCGGCGGCGGCGGCGCGGGGTCCGGGCCCGGGGGAGCGGCGCAGCGCCCGGGGGCAGGCGGCGGCGCCGGGCCAGCCCCATGGCCGCGCTCACGCCATGGCGGGGCGCCGCGGGTGGCGGCGGAGCGGGGAGGGAGCGGCGGAGCCCCGGCAGGAAGCGGCGGCGCTGCCGAGCGGCCGCGGCCGCCGGGAGCGGGCAGGGCAGCGCCGGACCCGGGCGGGAGGGAGGGAGGGAAGGAGGGAGGGAGCCGCGGTCGCGGCAGCAGCGAGGAAGGAGGAGACGCGCCTGCCAGTGGCGCCTCCCCCGCGGCGGCGCGGCCCGCCCCGGCCCGGCCCACCGAGCCCCCGCGGCGCAGCGCCCGGGGTGCGGCCGCCGCCGCGATCGCCTCCTCCCGCCGGCACCGCCCCTCGCGCCGCAGCCCCTAGCCCCGCCCGTCGCCGCTCTGCCCGGCTCGGCTCGCTTCGGGTTTCGGCTCGGCTCTCGGCTCGGCTCGGCTCGCTTCGGGTTTCGGCTCGGCTCTCGGTTCGGCTCGGCTCGGTTAGGTTCGGCTCGGCGCGGTTCACCTCAGCCTGTCCCGGCTGGGCTCAGCCTCCCCCGTCCTCGCTCTGCCCTCCTCAGCCTGACCGAGAAACGCCTGGCTCAGAACGGAGTGGCTCATATCGGTCCTGCCAGGCCTAGCTGTCCTCAGGGCGAGACCCGTCGGCAAGGTTCAGCCCAAGCCTAACCTGGCTCGGTTTGGTTCGGCTCGGCCCAAGCCAGCTGGCCTGGCACAGTGCCTTGTCACAGCCGGCAAGGCCCGTAGGAAGGATTTACACACACGGTGAGGGGTTTAGCAGCCTGTTGGTAGAAGAAGAGTTTCAGAGAGGCTGTGTTGCCCCTGCGGAGCTGCTGTGAGAGGTGAGGGGATCCTCTGCCCATACAGCTAAGCGTCTCACCACCCTTGTGTAGTTCCCACCCTACCTTGGCCTTTACAAGAGCTCACATCAACCCTTGGGGCTGTGCTGACAAAGACAATGGGGTGAGCGCGGGTAGCATGGGGCAGCTTATTTTCTAGGTCAGCACAGTGCCATAACCATAAACTCTCTACCTACATGTGGTGTGACATCTCCTGCCCTGGAATCCTGCTTGGTCTGCAGCAGAGGGGGTGACAGGAGCTGAAGTTTGAAAAGAAACTTTGGTCTATGAAGCTGAATAAGTAGCACTGAGTTTTGGGTTTGCTTTCTCCATCAGGTCCTCTGTGACCAGGGCAATCTTGGGAGAAGAAATCTGTCCCATCCGAACACATCACCTTGCCCCCTGGCCTCTACAAGCTCCTCAGCTGCAGCATCTCCTTCACACTGTGGGCAGAGAGATGTCCTGTCACCCCTCTCACTGTACAGGGATATTTCAACCCTGCACAGCTGCAGTTCCTAAAGAAGCTCCTTACCAGTTTATCTTTTAAGTCTAGTCTATGGGATTTTGTCTTGGAGGGGCCTTCAGATTTTGGAATGGAAATTGTATTTCTACTGCAGGGCACCAGTTTCTAAGTGCTGTAAATTTTTGTTTCAGGACCAGAAGAGGAACCTTGGAGAAGAATCTGTGGACTGCTAGTAATGCAATGGAGGCAAGAGCTGATGAAAGCTTTGAGGTCTTCTTTATGGGAGGTTCCCCATAGCAAGAAGCGGCATGTCCATAATCTGCAGCTTTGGTGGCATTACAGTGATATAGCAAAACACTTCTCAAGCCCATTTCCTGCTCCTTGGCAGCCTGTGGCATGCTCATTCGGGTGGCGATGCTATCCCTCTCCCCATCCCCTTCCCACCCATTCATTCCAATGCAAAGCACAGTTGGACACCCCGTTGGCTGTGCTAATGCATCCCCCCTTTGGGGGGTTACACTGCTGGATCTGCTAAATGGTCCCAGCTAATAATACACACCCCCCCCCCAATACCTCTTTATTTTGGAAAGTTATGCAAAAATCCAGCTTGCAGAATGGCATGATAAACATCTTGGCAAAGCTGAGCTGGCAGGGAAAGGAAGTGTCAGGGCAGGAGTAAGTGGCTGGGGGCAAGGAAATGGCAGGAACATCTTCAGCTGCTGTACCATAAAAGACCAGATGTAACAATTTTACACACTTCCACCCATCTTATGTCTTTCTTTTCCCCCTAAACGATGCTGAGATTGCACAGACATCTGACATCCTTAAAATCTTTCATGCCAAAAATTTCCATGGTCAGCAGGAGCATTGATGCATGTGAAGTGGGGAGCATGGCATTCAACAGTTGCCTACTAAGAACCAGAATAAAGAGAGAGTTATGGCCATGTGAAAAAACAAGGACAAAATCATGTAATTAAAAGGCCATTAGAAAGCATATATGGCTGAGGAGGGCTGGCTATTAATCCGTGATTAAAGCCTGGGAGCTTGATTGTATGATCTGGATGTATTTTTATGTACGTGTGTATTTGTATACTTGCCCCAGTGGCAAGAAGCAAATGTGTCTGAGGTTTGGAAGCTGAAGTCTTTACTTGATCTAGTTTCTTGACTCATTTCCTGCTGATTTGTGAGATCTCATATTTGATCTCTGATCTCACTGTCCAGCTAATTTGGACGCTGCTAAGCTGTTTATGCTCTGAGGAATTTCTCTTACTGCACAACCCTCTTACTTTCGTAATGATAAATATTGGATTTTATTTTGCTACTATTCAGGTTACTGTGCTGGTTCTTGTGAATAGCGCTTTCAAGATGACTGGCTTTTCTGAATGAAGAGGCTCTCAGAGGTGTGATTTCTCTTTGTGCATTGTGCTGTTCAGATACAGAGCTTCTGCTTACACACAGAGTAGCACTTCCCTGTGATGAGATCGTTACGGTATCTAGGATTAATTAGCCATTGGTGGCAGAGCTTCAAGACAGCAGCTTCTGCACACTAATGGTTTGCATGCTATGGTTATTCTGTGTTTTCTACTCGAAAGGACCATTTATCTTGCAGAGAAATACTTTAGCTGCTGTGGAGAACCTGGTTTATGGACCCCTGGACTGAAAATGGACTTCCCTGAGTGCTGTTACACCTTCAGCTAGTACTTCTTTAGGCTGAGAAGCACTGGAATTTGAAGCGGCAGAGTTTAGGATAGCTTCTTTACTGTAAGTTCTTTATTGTAAGTGTGGTGAGGCACTGGAATGGGTTGCCAAGGGAAGTTGTGAATGCTCCATCGCTGACGGTGTTCAAGGTCAGGTTGGACAGAGTCTTGGGTGACATGGTTTAGTGTGAGGTGTCCCTGTCCATGGCGGGAAGGGGGGGGGGGGGGGGGGTTGGAACTAGATGGTCTTAAGGTCCTTTCCAACCCTAACTATTCTATGATTCTATGATTCTATCTACTGCAGGCTTGCAATGTAGCCTCCTAACTTCACCTATCCTTGCCTTTAAAACCCATGCCTTTGAGCTGAAATCTTCCACGAAGTTGATTTAGGAATCTAAATATGAATGTTGGTACCTTGTTGACTGTGCTAGTTTCAATGACTTTTCCACTGAGTCACTCGGTGACTTTGAATGAGTGAGGAGTGGAAGTCAGCAGTCCTGAATCATGCCATCCTCCAGACAATTACCCCCCTCCCCGATAATTCTTTCGAGCAGCAATCATATTTTAAAAGCGATGATTACATCCGTGTTTTCCCCCATTATAATTGTTCAGAATGTAAGAGCTGCAGAAACGATCTGAAACACTTGCAGTCAGCTTGAAAGCTTTCAGAGTTGACACGTTCTGGGGGGCCACGGCATTTGGAAATACAAAGGGGTTGTTTTTCAGCAGGAGTGCGATTTCAGCATGTGATTTTAGAGAATTGTCAGGCACTTGCTGGGGGAAAAGGAGGTGGAAAGTTCCTCGCAGTCCTCCCAGGATGTCCTTTTGATGTTTTGAAGGTAAAGCCCTTCTAGAGCAGGAAAGCAGAAAGGGACCCTCGCTGCCAGATGGGCTGCTTTGCCCAAGATCTGAGTATCCCACTGTTTTTTCCATTTCTTGATTTTTATAAGCATGTGTTTTACTATGACAGAAAATGGCAACAAAGCTTATGTGATCTCTTAGCTACTGCATGTGTGCACCGCTGTACAACTTTGAGATGCTGGGGCTGGGGGCCAGGGGAGTAAAGGGAACAGGAGGAACGAGGAAGGAGAGTAGAGGTCTTCAAAATAACCCAGTGCTCACAGGTTCAAATGAAATAAATGGCTGTTTAGAGGAGTAGCTCAGCGCTTTCAGCTAAGACAGAGGTGGAATAGGAGCTCAGCTCCTGCTGGACACCACAGGATCCACCTGGGCAACAGCAATGTCATGATGGCCAGGAAGGCATTGACCAGCACATGCAGTCAGCCATGAGTCGCACGTATGGGACAAACCTGGTTTCATTTGTAGCTGTGTTCATGAAACCATGCGCTTTTATTCACCCCCTCACAACATAAAAGCAAGGTTTATTGAAATGAGGGGTCTGTGAGGAAAAGAGGGCTTTTCAAAACCCTTACTTTTCTGCCGAGCACTCTGATGTCCTCTTAATATTCAGCAGTATGTGATTTAAAGCCCCCTGACTGTTCAAGGTGGGGTTGGACAGAGCCTTGGGTGACATGATTTAGTGTGAGGTGTCCTGCCCATGGGAGGGGTGTTGGAACTAGATGATCTTAAGGTCCTTTCCAAACCTAACTATTCTAAGATTCTATGACATGATGGTTTGGTGTTTCCTTTGTGTGCATAACTTCCTTTTGATACAAAGGGATGATAAAACTCCTAAACTGTAATCTCACAAGCATGTGGCGCCTTGTCTTTGGGGTGCAGATAGCAGGAAAATG